CTTCTTCAAAATGGTCAAATGAGTCGATATATACGTAAGGGTAAATGCCTTTTTCCAATAATAAATCCGTGTTTTCTGGGAATCTTTCCCAAAGTAAGTTAAAATCATCGGGTGAACAATTCTTAACCAGTTGATCTAGCGAAGCTGCCATGAAATGAAAGGGGTCTAGGAACCTAAGTTGGCCGAATGAAAACAAAATGTAATTCTCTGTATTTTTAGCAATTAATTTAATTTCTTCGCCGTTAAACTCGCGAGCATGATTAAATGCGCGTCGTATTTCTCCAAATTGTGTAAAATAACTGGTACGGGCGTTTGATAGGGTACTTGAGATTACATCTGATACACTGCTGGTCGTTGTTTTGGACGTTTAAAATTGCTTTTTATACGCCAATTGCGCAGGTAGTGGAATGTAAGTTGCATCCACCATGTTGTATTTTACCATGTTGATGTAAAAAGCGTCAACTTTATCAAATATCCATCCGATCCACGTTGCGTGTGTGCCTCCATGTCCTCTATCTGGTTTTGCCTATGTTCTGCGAGTGCATTTTTAATGTCGGTTTTACTTACGACCACTTTATTTTAACTCGGGAAGGTGAATACACCAAAGTCGGTTTGATCGGGTTTTTCCAATCTAAATTGCACTTTTAGAGCTGTTTGCAGTTTATAAGAATCAATTTCCTTTAACTCATCTAACGCTTTCTTCTCTATGAAAGTTTTGTAAAAATCAAAAAAGTGCACGAGGTCATATTCAAAGAAACTGGGTATCAATTCCCAATTTCTGTAATTACCCTGAAAGCGTCTCACGTTTCTAATGTCGACTTCTGCAATTTCCTCGGGTTGAGTGTAAGCTTTAATCACTTTGATGAGATCTTGTTTGACAACTCTGCCCTTGTGTGTAAATGGGATGTTGTGTTGAATTGCCTTTGGTTCGTTCGGATGGCTTGAACAAGTTCGGGCTTGGTGTGAAATCTACACTAGGGTGCCAGTAATGGAATGTTATACTGCTTGACAAAATCTGCTAAAAACGCCTTCTTGAAACGATTGAAGGTTGATAATAGTGGTCTGTGTTTTGGGTTGCTCATGTCTCTATTTATATATAGGTTTTTAAATTTTTTTCTCATTTTTTCCCGCGACTTGACTTGACATGTTTTTATATATTGTTTTTTCTATATATAGTCCATTTATTTAAGGTGGTTGTAAACACAGCGCATTTTGCTTAGAACAGAGCTGCGCTTTAAGTAGAAGTCACGAGTTCAGGCCGGGCAAGTCGAGACTTGTAGTGACCGGGAAAGCGAGGGGAAGTCCCTTCTTTTTTTTTTAGAGCCAAAGTTGTTTGCGCAGGAGAAGCACCAGGGTTTCCCACTTCACTACCTTGACCTTTGACCTGCCTGTTTGTACCAACCCCAGCGGAGAGGAGGAAAGAGAGTGGAGAAGGGGGATGGCGCAGAACCGGCAGTTCCCGACTACTGGGGTTAGGGTTAATCTCATGTCACATGATGTCATCATGACATGATCATTTTGGTTTGATCTCTATATAACAAATAACTCAGTTTAACTTTGATCAATATGAAAGAGCACTATGAGACCAAAATGAAGCTTCGAAAATTGTCTAGAAAGTCTACAAACAAAATA